CTGATCGGCCAGTCGGTGTCCTGATCAGCCAGTCGGGGTCCTGATCGGCCTGATTGTCGGGGTCTTGATCGGCCAGTCGGGGTCCTGATCGGCCAGTCGGGGTCCTGATCGGCCAGTCGGGGTCTTGATCGGCCAGTCGGGGTCTTGATCGGCCTGATTGTCGGGGTCCTGATCAGCCAGTCGGGGTCCTGATCGGCCTGATTGTCGGGGTCTTGATCGGCCAGTCGGGGTCCTGATCGGCCAGTCGGGGTCCTGATCGGCCAGTCGGGGTCTTGATCGGCCTGATTGTCGGGGTCCTGATCGGCCAGTCGGGGTCCTGATCGGCCTGTATTCGCTATAACAAACGCCTCGCTCTACATTATCCCTTACATATATGTTAATTTCCGTTAAAGTTTTAGTAATTTAATGTTTATGACATTTTTATTAGGTCGTACTTTTTTAAATATCTTTTTATTCATTTTTATTTTAGTTTTAGCTATTTAAGTACATCAAGTTAACTTAAAATAAAAAATATTGCGTTGAATTAAAATGTTTGTATATTTTATTTAGCTTTCCGTTAACATTTGTTGTATTTCAATTAAAGAAAATGTTTTGTAATGGTTTTAGTTCTCTATAGTCACTCCACACTGTTTCTTCTCACACTTTACACAATATTTATTTAGTTAACGTCAGGTGTGTGTTCAGCTCTAGATTATTTAGTTAACGTCAGGTGTGTGTTCAGCTTCAGATAAGGACCAGCTCACTGTACACTGGCAGAAGTCGTGAGGAGAAACTGTACACTGAAGTTGTAAAGGATAGATCGGCACACACATGTAACTGGCTCAGGATCATGTGTGTGTGTGTCTGTGTGTGCATCAATAATGCATGAAGCTTCAGATCCGTGTGCATTAGCATTAGCATTAGCATACCTGATGGTGCTTTTCCTCCGCGTCCTTGACCAGCGCCACTGAGTCTGACTGTTCGTCAATAACAGGTCATTTACCCAGAGCCAGAAACAACATCTTCCAGGTCACCTCCACTGCCACACACTCGAGACTGCCACACACACCTCCACTGCCACACACTCGAGACTGCCACACACACCTCCACTGCCACACACTTGAGACCGCATTAGCATGCAGGACAGCATCTGCTCCTTTCCTCCAGAAATAAATCTTTAGGGAAGCGCCTTGCTCGAGCCTTAAAGTTGCCTTTTCCTGAAACACTTTGTCGGTAGCTGCGAGTTAAATGAAACGCGGTGCCATAGTTTGACCCCTATGAATATTAATAAGCCTCTATTAAAAATGCATGTGGCGTTGTAGTTGTTGATCAGATTTTGGATGCCCATGCAAATTGGCCTGTCTTCCCTGTCAGCGGCGCGGATGAATAATGTAGGTGTGTTGTATATTCAGGGACACACCATTGACAGTCAATTAACAGGTTTGATTGGTGTGTGAACTCATTCTTTTGAACTGTTAATTTTATGTAAATAGTATTCCCCGGATCGCGAGTTACCTGCGCCAGGCTCTTAATAATTGATCACGCCGCACCTGTTTTATTTTTAAATATTACAATAGCCGAGAGGTCTTGCTTTTGATATTCAAATCCACAAATATGAAGCCGAAAGTGCTTGTTTTCTGAACGCTCTCTGTACGTCGGACTCCATGCCGGATCGTGTGGGAAAGCTCTGATGGCTCTTGATGGCTCATAACGGGAACGCCAATCCCGATTTGGGAACGCCGTAGATTTGGGAATCGCGCTCCCAGGTAAATGATGCGCTGATTGATCCCGCTTTCTTCCTTTGGTTCTCCTCGTCCTGGTAATTTGCAGCGGTCCGGGCGGATGCGGAGATTCATCACAGTTGACAGGTGAAGCCGGCAGCGGGAATCTCCAGAAACACATATGATTATGGAAATGAATGTGACTCTTCGCTCCCCGCAGCAAAGCGCTCCTTGTTGATCTGTCGTCGCAAGCACGTCTGAGAGGAAAGATCATCGTACATGCTTTCTAAGAAAAGTCCTGAGGATGCATGTGTGCATGCAAGTTTGTCTCCAACACAAAATAAAAAATATCATAACTTGAAAATAAAATAAATATTAGCCGAAATCAATCACGTTGTTAAAAACTGTAACAAGGTTTCATTTGCTATTAACATGAACTCACCATGATACTGTGATAACACTTGATAACAATGATATACCTCTACAGCATTTATTAATCTCAGTCCATGTTCATTCCAGCATTTACTAACTAACATTGCATTGCGTTACAATGCATTAACTAACATTAGCTGATGATACCTTATTGTAAACTATTTACATTTTATTTTCTAGTTGGAAACATCTCATTTTCCTTCAGTTTAACTTGATGTATTAAAATATCTAGAACTAAAACTGAAATAAAAACTAAAACAAACAAATATGACAAATTATAAGATCCTAGACTAACACTCAATGCACATGATGTAGGACTAAAAAACAAAACAAAACTAAATAAATAAATAAGAGTTATCTGAAATCCAACAAGATGTTAAAAACTGTAACACTTTACAATAAGGTTTCATTGGTAACTAGCTGTTAACATGCTAACCATGATACTGTGGTAATACTTGATAACAATGATAGAATGATAATCTTAGTTCATGTTCATTCCAGCATTTACTCATACATTATTAACTCTTTCCCTGCAAAAACATGATTTTTCTCAGAAACTTTATGAAAAAAATGCATGAAGCTAGAACAAAATGTTTTGTTTAAAAGCAGATGCTCTGTTCTTTCTTTTGATATATTGCATATTCAGATATTCATACAACAAAATATTCTAGAGGCCATGAAATGTATGTGGAAATGATAAAACAAATCTGTTGCTGATCATCAACTTTTTTAAACACTAAAGTTTAAATCAAAAGTTTTATCTGTTAATATTATTGGTAACACTTTACAAAAAGGTTCATTTAACATTAGTTAACTATATTACTTAACATGAAGTAATAACGAACTGCTCTTCTACAGCATTTATTAATCTTAGTTAATGTTAATTTCAACATTTACTAATACGTTATTAAAATCAAATGTTGTATTAGTTAACATTAGTTAATGCACTGTGAACTAACATGAACACACAATGAACAGCTGTATTTTTATTTACTAATCTTATTATAAAGATTAATAAATTGCTCATGGTTAGTTCATGTTAGTTAATGCATTAACTAATGAACCTTATTGTAAAGTGTTACCAATTTAAATTTTATTTACTAGTTGGACTAGTTGAAACATCTAGTTTTCATTTTGTTTAACTTGACATATTAAAATAAATAGAACTAAAACTGAAAAAAAATAAAAATACAGGATGGAAAATATAAAAAATAAAAAACTAATGCAAAATATTAATACAAACTATATGATCCCAAACTAACACTCAATGCACATGATGTCTGACTACAAAATCAAAATCAAATGTTGACTGATCCTTTTGGATCGAACGCATTAATGTGTCCATGCAATCAAATTCTTTCTTTTTCTCTCTTCCCATCAAACACCTGAAATGTGTGTTTAGAGTAAGTGAGTAATTCCTGTGCATGATGAGTGTGTGTAGAGCTGGAGCTGGTCTGACCTCTCGATCGCCACGTCTCTGACCAGCTCCTGTATTTTTAGCTGCAGATTCTCAGCTAATTATCACCTGGTTATTAGTGATTGCGCGAGCTTTCATCGCGGGTGTGAAACGGGAACTCTAGGTGATAAAATAACAGTGAAGGTGTGGAGCGTTAATTGATGCTCTGCTGTTCAAACACTAATGTTATAATAATGTTAATGAGTTGCACCTCTTTTGATGCAAGTCTGTGGCGAAGTCTTGTGATTTATGGACGTTTCCATCAGCAGCTGATACTAAACCGGCCGGGAAACTTTTTCATTTTTGGTCAATGGTTAGTGTTTTGAGCTTCAGAAAGGCAAACTAAATCAAGCTTTATTTCTACAGCGCGTTATCCAGTACAGACTGTTTCAAAGCAGCTTCACAGTGATAATCAAACCCATGATGCAAACTTCATCAAATACGAGACTCATGCAGAAGACAATAGTGTCATTAATCAGATCAAGTTTTGTTCTCATCTGATGATGTCAGTGCAGTCAATATTACTGAATATTCATTAGATGTATAACATATTAAATGCTTTTTTTTTTTACTGAATATTACCATGTACAAATTCTTTATTTTCTATTTATCTTTTATGGTTTTTGCTCATTTTGCAAGCCTGTATATCTGAATACAGATCAAATTAAAAACTTGATTTTATGTGATTTTTTTTTTTTTTTTTCAATAAACATTAAATATGCTGACATTTTAAACAAAGTAAACACATAATAAAACATATATCTTTATTCATATTTATTCATAAGTAAAAAATTAGACACAAAATATTGATCTGAGTTGAAATATGTTATTATCTCTTTAAACGCAAAGCTTCGCGGAGAGAGCAGTTTCAGCGGCGAGATCAAACTAAACGGACATTTAAGAGATACAGTATACAGTCATAACACTTATTACACAGCATTTCGACACATACATAATTATGGAGATAAGAGATATTGATTTCAGATTAAACTGTTTTAAAATCGTACCTGTTTGTATCTTATATTAACAGTGTACAAAACAATAGTCATAAAATGGCCGCCGCTGCGTTTGTATGAAACAAGAGAGAGCGAGTCCACGATACTGGATGGCATAATTAAATAACTGTACACAAAATATTGATTTGACTGAGTTTTAATATATTTTATTAGCTCACCAAACGCAAAACTTCCACGAAGAAAAAACATTCCTAATAAGCGTATAGCGCTGTTGACTTCAGTAACCCAGATGTGCCTGTGTTTCTGTTATCTGGGAATATCACACCGTTGAAAGGCATGATTGACCAATCAGAATCAAGTACTCCCTAGAGCCGTGTAATAATAATTTATATAGTATGTGTTTATTAATTAATGAATTTATATGTAAATATATGTGTATTTACTGCTGTGTGTCAGGTGCGGGAGGCTGTGTTCTGCGCGGGACAGGTCGCTCTGACCCCCTGCTCTATGCAGATGCTGGACGGGCCGCCAGCGCTCCAGGCCCGGCTCTGCTTCAGTCACACGGAGAAGGTTCTGTGTGCCGTCAGCGCCGGACTCACGCTGGCTCACGCTCTGCAGGCGCACGTCTACCTCACACACCCCGAACACACAGCGCCCGTCACCGCGGCCTGGAACACACACCTGCAGGACCTCCAGGTGAGCTTGTACATTATATATATATATATATATATATGTATCTGAGGCTAGCCTCATCTGTGCCTCACCAGCCCGGAAACTCACTGTGGACAATAGAGGTTATACGTGTTACGTCATCGTCAGCCGTTTACACCCACTGAAACAGCGGCAGAAACACTGAGTGGCAGAAACACTGAGTGGCAGAAACACTGAGTGGCAGAAACACTGAGTGGCAGAAACACTGAGAGGCAGAAACACTGAGAGGCAGAAACACTGAGCGGCAGAAACACTGAGAGGCAGAAACACTGAGTCGCAGAAACACTGAGAGGCAGAACACTGAGAGGGAGAGACACTGAGCGGCAGAAACACTGGGAGGCAGAAACACTGAGGGGTAGAAACACTGAGCGGCAGAAACACTGAGAGGGAGAGACACTGAGCGGCAGAAGCACTGAGTGGCAGAAACACTGAGCGGCAGAAACACTGAGAGGCAGAAACACTGAGAAACACTGAGCGGCAGAAACACTGAGAGGCAGAAACACTGAGAAACACTGAGCGGCAGAAGCACTGAGTGGCAGAAACACTGAGCGGCAGAAACACTGAGAGGCAGAAACACTGAGCGGCAAAAACACTGAGCGGCAGAAACACTGAGAGGCAGAAACACTGAGCGGCAGAAACACTGAGAGGGAGAGACACTGAGCGGCAGAAGCACTGAGTGGCAGAAACACTGAGCGGCAGAAACACTGAGAGGCAGAAACACTGAGAAACACTGAGCGGCAGAAACACTGAGAGGCAGAAACACTGAGAAACACTGAGCGGCAGAAGCACTGAGTGGCAGAAACACTGAGCGGCAGAAACACTGAGAGGCAGAAACACTGAGCGGCAAAAACACTGAGCGGCAGAAACACTGAGCGGCAGAAACACTGAGTGGCAGAAACACTGAGCGGCAGAAACACTGAGTGGCAGAAACACTGAGAGGCAGAAACACTGAGTGGCAGAAACACTGAGTGGCAGAAGCACTGAGTGGCAGAAACACTGAGTGGCAGAAGCACTGAGTGGCAGAAACACTGAGTGGCAGAAACACTGAGTGGCAGAAGCACTGAGTGGCAGAAACACTGAGAGGCAGAAACACTGAGCGGCAGAAACACTGAGCGGCAGAAGCACTGAGTGGCAGAAACACTGAGAGGCAGAAACACTGAGTGGCAGAAACACTGAGAAACACTGAGAGGCAGAAACACTGAGTGGCAGAAACACTGAGCGGCAGAAACACTGAGTGGCAGAAACACTGAGCGGCAGAAGCACTGAGTGGCTGAAACACTGAGAGGCAGAAACACTGAGCGGCAGAAGCACTGAGTGGCTGAAACACTGAGAGGCAGAAACACTGAGAGGCAGAAACACTGAGAGGCAGAAACACTGAGAGGCAGAAACACTGAGCGGCAGAAGCACTGAGTGGCTGAAACACTGAGAGGCAGAAACACTGAGAGGCAGAAACACTGAGAGGCAGAAACACTGAGCGGCAGAAACACTGAGCGGCAGAAACACTGAGAGGCAGAAACACTGAGAGGCAGAAACACTGAGCGGCAGAAACACTGAGAGGCAGAAACACTGAGTCGCAGAAACACTGAGAGGCAGAAACACTGAGCGGCAGAAGCACTGAGTGGCAGAAACACTGAGAGGCAGAAACACTGAGAGGCAGAAACACTGAGAGGCAGAAACACTGAGTGGCAGAAACACTGAGTGGCAGAAACACTGAGCGGCTGAAACACTGAGCGGCAGAAACACTGAGAGGCAGAAACACTGAGCGGCAGAAACACTGAGAGGCAGAAACACTGAGAGGCAGAAACACTGAGAGGCAGAAACACTGAGAGGCAGAAACACTGAGCGGCAGAAGCACTGAGTGGCAGAAACACTGAGAGGCAGAAACACTGAGAGGCAGAAACACTGAGTGGCAGAAACACTGAGAGGCAGAAACACTGAGCGGCAGAAGCACTGAGTGGCAGAAACACTGAGCGGCAGAAGCACTGAGAGGCAGAAACACTGAGAGGCAGAAACACTGAGAGGCAGAAACACTGAGCGGCAGAAGCACTGAGAGGCAGAAACACTGAGAGGCAGAAACACTGAGAGGCAGAAACACTGAGCGGCAGAAGCACTGAGTGGCAGAAACACTGAGAGGCAGAAACACTGAGAGGCAGAAACACTGAGAGGCAGAAACACTGAGTGGCAGAAACACTGAGTGGCAGAAACACTGAGCGGCAGAAACACTGAGCGGCAGAAACACTGAGAGGCAGAAACACTGAGCGGCAGAAACACTGAGAGGCAGAAACACTGAGAGGCAGAAACACTGAGAGGCAGAAACACTGAGCGGCAGAAGCACTGAGTGGCAGAAACACTGAGAGGCAGAAACACTGAGAGGCAGAAACACTGAGTAGCAGAAACACTGAGAGGCAGAAACACTGAGCGGCAGAAGCACTGAGCGGCAGAAACACTGAGCGGCAGAAGCACTGAGCGGCAGAAACACTGAGAGGCAGAAACACTGAGAGGCAGAAACACTGAGTGGCAGAAACACTGAGAGGCAGAAACACTGAGAGGCAGAAACACTGAGAGGCAGAAACACTGAGCGGCAGAAGCACTGAGTGGCAGAAACACTGAGAGGCAGAAACACTGAGCGGCAGAAACACTGAGAGGCAGAAACACTGAGAGGCAGAAACACTGAGTGGCAGAAGCACTGAGTGGCAGAAACACTGAGAGGCAGAAACACTGAGAGGCAGAAACACTGAGAGGCAGAAACACTGAGCGGCAGAAACACTGAGAAACACTGAGAGGCAGAAACACTGAGAGGCAGAAACACTGAGAGGCAGAAACACTGAGCGGCAGAAACACTGAGAAACACTGAGAGGCAGAAACACTGAGAGGCAGAAACACTGAGAGGCAGAAACACTGAGCGGCAGAAGCACTGAGTGGCAGAAACACTGAGAGGCAGAAACACTGAGTGGCAGAAACACTGAGCGGCAGAAACACTGAGAGGCAGAAACACTGAGAGGCAGAAACACTGAGCGGCAGAAACACTGAGCGGCAGAAACACTGAGCGGCAGAAACACTGAGCGGCAGAAACACTGAGAGGCAGAAACACTGAGCGGCAGAAACACTGAGCGGCAGAAACACTGAGAGGCAGAAACACTGAGCGGCAGAAACACTGAGCGGCAGAAACACTGAGCGGCAGAAACACTGAGAGGCAGAAACACTGAGAGGCAGAAACACTGAGCGGCAGAAACACTGAGCGGCAGAAACACTGAGCGGCAGAAACACTGAGAGGCAGAAACACTGAGAGGCAGAAACACTGAGCGGCAGAAACACTGAGAGGCAGAAACACTGAGCGGCAGAAACACTGAGTGGCAGAAACACTGAGAGGCAGAAACACTGAGCGGCAGAAACACTGAGCGGCAGAAACACTGAGCGGCAGAAACACTGAGCGGCAGAAACACTGAGCGGCAGAAACACTGAGAGGCAGAAACACTGAGCGGCAGAAACACTGAGCGGCAGAAACACTGAGCGGCAGAAACACTGAGCGGCAGAAACACTGAGAGGCAGAAACACTGAGCGGCAGAAACACTGAGCGGCAGAAACACTGAGAGGCAGAAACACTGAGCGGCAGAAACACTGAGCGGCAGAAACACTGAGAGGCAGAAACACTGAGCGGCAGAAACACTGAGTGGCAGAAACACTGAGAGGCAGAAACACTGAGCGGCAGAAACACTGAGCGGCAGAAACACTGAGCGGCAGAAACACTGAGCGGCAGAAACACTGAGAGGCAGAAACACTGAGCGGCAGAAACACTGAGCGGCAGAAACACTGAGAGGCAGAAACACTGAGAGGCAGAAACACTGAGCGGCAGAAACACTGAGAGGCAGAAACACTGAGCGGCAGAAACACTGAGTGGCAGAAACACTGAGAGGCAGAAACACTGAGCGGCAGAAACACTGAGCGGCAGAAACACTGAGCGGCAGAAACACTGAGCGGCAGAAACACTGAGAGGCAGAAACACTGAGCGGCAGAAACACTGAGCGGCAGAAACACTGAGCGGCAGAAACACTGAGAGGCAGAAACACTGAGCGGCAGAAACACTGAGCGGCAGAAACACTGAGAGGCAGAAACACTGAGCGGCAGAAACACTGAGCGGCAGAAACACTGAGCGGCAGAAACACTGAGAGGCAGAAACACTGAGAGGCAGAAACGCTGAGCGGCAGAAACACTGAGCGGCAGAAACACTGAGCGGCAGAAACACTGAGAGGCAGAAACACTGAACGGCAGAAACACTGAGAGGCAGAAACACTGAGCGGCAGAAACACTGAGCGGCAGAAACACTGAGCGGCAGAAACACTGAGAGGCAGAAACACTGAGAGGCAGAAACACTGAGAGGCAGAAACACTGAGAGGCAGAAACACTGAGAGGCAGAAACACTGAGCGGCAGAAACACTGAGCGGCAGAAACACTGAGCGGCAGAAACACTGAGCGGCAGAAACACTGAGCGGCAGAAACACTGAGAGGCAGAAACACTGAGAGGCAGAAACACTGAGCGGCAGAAGCACTGAGCGGCAGAAACACTGAGAGGCAGAAACACTGAGAGGCAGAAGCACTGAGCGGCAGAAACACTGAGCGGCAGAAACACTGAGAGGCAGAAACACTGAGAGGCAGAAACACTGAGAGGCAGAAGCACTGAGAGGCAGAAACACTGAGAGGCAGAAGCACTGAGAGGCAGAAACACTGAGTGGCAGAAACACTGAGTGGCAGAAACACTGAGAGGCAGAAGCACTGAGAGGCAGAAACACTGAGAAACACTGAGAGGCAGAAACACTGAGAGGCAGAAACACTGAGAGGCAGAAACACTGAGAGGCAGAAACACTGAGAGGCAGAAGCACTGAGAGGCAGAAACACTGAGTGGCAGAAACACTGAGTGGCAGAAACACTGAGAGGCAGAAACACTGAGTGGCAGAAACACTGAGAGGCAGAAACACTGAGAAACACTG